ACTTCTCCTCCTCCATGTTGTCTTGTGTCCATCAGTGGGGCAACTTCACAAAATACATCCTTGGCCACATCTGCACTCATCACCTGTTTAGCATCCTGTCTGCCAAAAGCAAGTGATGTCTGCTGAAACATAAATGACATGTGCAAACTATAATTGCAATCCATACCTGCACTCTGCATCTGTCTCAGCATCATGTTTATACACAACAGTGGCTACACAATCGGACAACCATAGATGAACAACGCAGGTTTAAGGTGTCTTAACAAAAACATTGGGGGCTAGCATACATTATTATATTACCAGCAGAACATCTAGTACACAGGAAGGGTGATGACCTAAAACGGCTCACCATGACTCTCATCAACTGATTTAAGTTTGTGTCGTGGTACTTCAGCAGATTTCGACTTCAAGGGGATTGGAGCAAATCAGATCACAGAATCTGCAAAGTCTAACTTCTCCAGGATTTACCAACCAGAGAGCTGGGGAACCAGTGAACCTGTCAAGGAGCCGGCCAATGACCGCGGTAACGCCCTCAACGCAAAGCTGATTGCAGGCACGTCACACGTCACTTGTGATTCTGCTTAAGACCTTCACACGCTTGATGCCACCTTTGCACCGAACTCACTTTCGACTCAGCAGATTACAATCAGCAACTACAGCTACTGCTGCAGGAGTTAAGCTGACATGGGAATTGATAGCTTGATTGAAACCTGAGGGTTTGGCCAAATGTTGGGTTTTGGCCACCCGGTGGAACAGTACACAAAGACTACAATTCTTGAAGTGAAGGACATGTGAACGGAGGTGAACGGATTCTTTGGCCAGGCGCTGTGCTGCCTCCAGGAGATTACCTCATTAGAGCTGGGCCCTTAGCCGTCCATTTGATAGACCATTGTTGAACGCTCCCGCTGTGCTTAACGAGGTTGGCAAGAGGCCTTCTTTTGGTTTGTGGTTCAGCTGCGCTTGTGTGCCGAGGTTGCAGATGACCACTACAAGGAGCAACTTCCTACCGGCCGTGCGCTGGGGTCCTAGAGCTTGAGAAAGGATCAGTGGCCCACCACATCCTGAAGGAGAAACGTGTTAAGTACGTAGCATGGACAGTACTGCAAACAGTGGGTACAGCGGCCCCTGTCATCCCTCGAACTTTTGCACTGTTCATTCACATCCAATGTGCTTTGGCCCCCACATGATCAGATTTGCATGTAATGATGCCAAAACGGAGAAGAACCGTTTATGTCTTACAGAATAAACTGTGCAACCAGACATTGGTCGTCCTGTTGAGACAGCCCTCTTCGCAAACTGGGAGAACCAGTCTTTTAGCGCCAAAGGTTTGGCGAGCTTGGTCCTTGAGCATGACAGAGATCGGACCCATTCATTTCTTGTCTACCAGGTGCTTCCCCTTCTCCTTTGATGTGGCCATTGTAGCTGCTGGCAACCGTCCAAGTGTGCTTTCTGCCCAAGAGCCCAGACTTACTTACAGCTCTGCGAACTGGGGGTCATGTACTGCTCAGATAAACGCTCAGATAAACCATTGGAGCTTGGATCTGTAGAAAGTTTTGTCTCAGCACTCGGTCGGGCTGCTCTTACAATGGTGGGATTTGTCACTTTAAAGTCGACAGGACTTCCATTGCCAACACAGTCTGACAGATCCTGTGACTACGTCGTTGGATCCCTGCCCGGAAACCTTACTGTATACTTACCTTGGAGGCGCACTGTCAGTTCTGCAAGGTCAACCCACTGGCTTCTGTACCTTTGGTGCGTGGTGTGGATGTAGTGCGCCTCTCTCCGCATCTCGGAGATTGTGGGTCAATGCCAGGACGGTCATCGAGACATTGACATGGTTAGACTAAGGGTAGCAAGAACAAAAGATACTTGCCGGCTTCGAAGCTTTTGGCAGTGAATAGTCCATCCACCAAGGTAGACGACATGGTGGACGAATAAGGTTTGATACCACGACAGGACACCAATTACCACAACAAGACATACATGATCACCACAGGATTACTGCTGACGAAAAGCTCATGGTGTTTGGAATGAACAGCTCAGCAAGCTCCAAGGGAAACAACAGACACACAGACTCACTAAGGTGCTTTAAAACTAGGCAACCTCCAGCTGTGGAAGTGGCTCAATTTGCTCAGATTGATGGTTACTACAGGCTACTGGCTACTGCAGGCTTAGCTATTATGAGATTCGTGGGCAGCGTTTTGGCTGTGCGAACGGACAACTTGCAGATGGAAGTCCTGGCGCGCAGGTACTTACCGTGCGTTTCTCGGAGCCACCGAAGGGCAGCATTGAGGAGTGTGTGAGGTTTTTTTGGAGCCGTGCCACGACGTGTGTTGGATAAGCCCGACCTGCAGATTCGACAGTCGAAAGATCAACTCCCAATACATCGTAAATGCAAAGTCTCAGAGTTAAGACACATCATGCTGCCCTAGGCAGTGTCGAGGCAAAAGAACTATCCGCAGTGAAGATTTGCCTGGCACATCTAGATCGTTCATGCTTATGGAATCTGTCTGTGGCTAAACTGTTTTGAAGGTTGAGGAGGCAGATCAGCAACAGATTTCAATGGGCCGCACGATTGAGATTGCAATGTCAGTGTCACTACGGCCTTCAAACAACTTCTGGACTGCGTACAAGCTTCTGCTCTCTTGAACTGAGTGCCTACATATATATATATATATATTATAATATAATACAGCAATGCAGTTCTTAATCAAAAGGATGGGCTTTTGTTTTGGCCAAGAAACGAGGTCAGCAGGATTCTTGGTCGCATCCGGCTCATCGTAGGAGGTTGTGGGCCAGATCAACTTTGCTGGAATGCAAGCCACCACCGGCGGGTCAGTGCAACACTTCCAGAGTCACTTGACCAAATGAGGTGGATCAATGGCTTTGCAGGAGGGGTCATCCAATTCATCCCTCTCACACATGAGTGGGGTCAGAACTATCTCAGCAGCCCGGCAAAAATGCTTGGTTTCTTGCGCATGGAGATTTAATAAGGATTCTATGGCTTATTGCCAGATTGCCGTGGAGAGCAATGCAGACCTGCCAGCTGCTCCAGTGGCCTTTCTTTGGCATCATCAACTATTCAGTACTGCTTGCGGCTCCACCCAAGCAATGACATTGAGCTTCATGGCATAGGGTTTGACCCAAACCTGGCTCTCATCCCTAAGAGTCCAACTTCGGCCAATCAAGAACTCCTGCGCAGAGTCTTAGGAGCGATGTGGGACCAATCCTGCCTGATGCTGAGGCCGGTATGTGGATTCCAATCGACCCAAGACGGTAGTACAGGCGTCTGCGCTGCGCTCAGACTTTGGTCAGTTGGAAGAACCTGATCGGGAGCTAGTACAAAATGATGGTGGAAATCAAGTCCTGGTAAGAATCGTGCTTATCCAAGGCTTGCAACACCCCACTTATAAACATTTTGATTGGATGTAGGGTTGCCAGAAGGACGCAACCTAGCAGATATGAGCTGAAGATGTTGAACAGGCATAAAGGGACAGGTCGGTTTTGCTACAAAATACAGCCGAATCAATCAGTGGTTGCTGCCCATCTCATAGTCTTCAGTCTTCCTCCAATTCTCAACCTCAGGCGGAAAGAACTGAGAAACCCACTGAAAGAAGCGTGTCTGAACAGACACTGACCGGACAAAGAAACTCGTTGAGACTCGTTGAGACCGGATGATTCCTAAGGTTTCTGAGGGTCAGAAGGTCTGGGTGTTGGCCTGGAGTTCCCAGGCAAGACTGAGATTTGCCGAGAGAATCTGAGGTGCAAAGACTTACCCTTGGTACATGTGAGCAACCGCCAAAACCTGCAATGACTAATTTAGTAAAGAGCGGTCGTGAATCTCAGGAATTGGACTAAAACCGGAGAAAGAGTACGTTTTGGCAGACGCTCATGTTGTTACGTGTACTGAGTTTACTATGTACTTTATGCTCCAGGGCTTTCCTTGCCAGGTCTTTCAGAAGGCAGCGGCCACGGCCGAGCTCGAGATAGGCCTCATCAGGTTAGGTTTCCCTCCATTTGTTTGCTGTTCGTGATTGCAAGGTGTTGTTGTTCGGGTATTTGCCAACCCTTTGGGGTAGGTAAACTGACCGCAACAAGTTGGAAGGTTCCCAACATAGTTGTTTGGTAACGGTTGTAACAACTGTATAATAGACTCCAGTTCTTTATTGAAACTATATAGGTCAAATCATGTCAAATCCTTATTGGCCGATCCTTTCTATGAGCAGAATCTCACAACTTTCAATGCACTCATCGCACTTTAGTCGGCCACCTGAAGGGAAAGGACCAATGGCAGTGTTTTTCCATCGCCGTTCCGACGTCCCAGGCAGTCGAAGCACTGCAGAACCCTAGGCAGTAGCTGAGAACTGAACCGGCCATCACAAAGCACCAAAACCACAGTGACCAAGCGGCATGCAGCCATATAGAATGGAAGAGCATACAAATTTGACCCAAGAGAATTCATGAGACTTCCAATGCAGTGAAAAGACAGCTTTCTACTAACTAGAAGCTACTAGGTGGAGGCCATCGCTATTAGGTTGGAGGCCATCGCTACTAGTAACGAGAAAGCTTTCTAGTAACACATCCAGATCTTAGCGAATCGTTGAAGCAGTGCCGGACGTCCGGGAGGCGGGGCTCACTTGCTCGGCTCGCCGTTTAAACCATATTTGCAAAGCGGAGATTGCGAAACGCATTGCTAGGTTTCCCTATGGCGAAAGACAGTTAAGTTTCGCTAAAAATCTGGGAACCAAATGAATAGTGCGAGCGCTTCTTCAAGGAAGCTTCCCCCCACCGCCCTAAGGAGCTTCCTTGAAGAAGCGTGAGCTATCCTGCGTCCGTGCTAACGTTCTTGTAGCTACTAGCTACCTAGCTACTACTAGCTACCTACCTAGCTAACCTACCTCACCTCTACTAGCGGCCTAACCGCCCCGGCCAAAAAGAAAAAGAGAAAATAAAGGACGCTTTTGAGCGCAGGACCACAATTGTACCGTACATCCGAGGTCATGTCAGCCCCTGCGCTCGATGAAGTTGGATGGGCACCTTGGTGGCGACAAGAGTTGACTGCACTATGTGCACGGTTCGAAGCGACCCTTCGGTTGGTTGCTGATTGGTCCTGAATGTCCTGGGATGTTGCTTTTTGAGTTTGGGAGGGGCGAAACGACGAAGTAATAATGGGATTGAGTTCCAAGCCCAATGCCAGAAAGTTGTCTTTGGAACACGGTCAGCTGGGTGTCATGCATCATGGAGAGAGAGAGAGAGAGAGCAAACTCAGCGATTTGAGACTGTCAGGGCTCCTTTCTGGCGTTCAAGTGGCTGGATTCCTTGGTGTGCGCCTCATTTTGTCTCTGCAGCCGGAAGCCGCGAACCAATTGGTCAGTCACATCTCTTGAACAGTAGCTTGGCAGCGTGTGGGTCTGAGCATGGGTCATTGGTCGCTCATGGGATTTCTCGACCTGAGGTGAACACTGGATACCAAAGACAAGTTAATTTGCAAGACAGCCCTCCACTGGCGGATCAAGAGGATACTGCCAGAAATACGCCACTTGGCATTGACATGCTTGGGGCTGAAGATGTTGGCCGAAATAGCAAGTACTGTACATGGAAGACGTGGGGAAGGCGTGACTCTGGCAACGAAGAAGATGTATTGTATCAGGACAAGGGGAAGGGTGGATAATATTCGATAGCAGACCCTTTTTGCATCTTTTTGTAAACGTTTAGGCGCCGATATGTGCGGCTGTTGGAGGAGCAGGAGCGTGCTGGCAAGTGGGCACCTCAGGAACTCTGCCTGAAAGAACCTGTTTACGTCAAAAGGCTATACCATTTTGGCTGCAGCCAACTCATATGCCCTGATTTGGAGAATGAATTAGAGAAAGTGTATGGTGAGGGTAGTTGGTGGAGTAGGACAAGCTCAAAGGCCCAATTCCCTACACTCCTAGACCCTTCCACGTGGTTCCCTGAAGGGTTGGAAGGTGTGAGACTTGGCTCCTTGGGGTACAGAACTCCCTTGGGCTCTGCCTGCGTTTAACGGAACTCTCCAGTCGGGCGCAGGCGCCACCCCTTGATCCACGCGATCTTCTGGGCCTTTTGGCCGCAGCTGCTCCTCTTGCGCGGGCCCCTGTTGCGGCTTTGTTCGACCGTTGGTGGCTTGAAAAGACGAAAGCCACTGTGAGTAAGGGCCTGAGGATCACAGGTTGTAGTCAGAAGCTGCAGAAGTTTGGTTGAGTTGGTTGACAATTACTTTTCTTTTGCAATGATGGACCGCTGGACAGACTCACAAGGCAGTCGATGAAGATCTCGCAGTACTTGCTCGGCACGGGCGCCTATCAGATGAAAAGTAGCAACAGCAGTCCCAGGACACTGGCTGCCATGGCTGCTTTTTGTTCGTGAAGAAACAGCTTGTTAGGGCCCATCAGGCCGATTGGTGGAGTCTGCTTCTTTTTGGGACATTGGCTTCAGCTCCGCCACAGGGAGTCCAGGTGAGATGATGTGCTCAACAAACATTCAATGTCATAGGCATTTGGCAAAGAGATTGTCATAGGCATGCACAATGACAAAGAATGTTCTGTAATGCTTCACGTGATTCTTTCTTGGGGGGAAAGCGTCGAAACCGATCCGATCCTGCAAGCGCAGACGGGTGAGACACCTGCCATGGCCACTTACGACACCGTTCATGTGGGCGGGCTTCCGCCGGGCACCAGCGAGCAATCGGTCCGGGAGATCTTTGGGCAGTACGCTCCGATTCATGCGAGCAAGGTCTTGGAGACAGGTCCGGGCCAAGCCGTGGAAGCTCTCGTGGGCATTGGGAAAGAGGCATCCAAGTGGCTGGTGGAGACACTTGACTCAGTGAAGTAGTGGTGGTGCATGTTTTTTTCTGGGATTCCCTTGTTAAAGTATACTTTTGTTCCTTCTTTTGGAGCCTTTGAACCAGTAAGGAACTTGAACGGCAACATCCCACAAGGCTTGCAGACGCCAGTGACGGTCCAGATGGTGCCTGATCAGGCTGCCCCAGCTCCAGCCCCAGCAACCAGTGGACCAGGCGCCAGCTATGGAAGCTCACCGGGCACGGGCAAAGACAACTTACAGATTCGGGGCCTTCCAGACGGTTGCACTGATGACTACATGAAACAAATCTTCGCACAGTATGCCAACGTGATCGGGTGCAAAGTGGTTCCATCGTCCGGCAGGGGTGAGATCGTGGGGTATATTCGTTTTGCTTCGGCAGAGGAGGCCAAATACATCCTGGACACCTTGAACGGCAACATTCCTCAAGGCTTGCAGAACCCTTTGTCCATCAAGTATGCCGGTGATCGGGCTGGGCTTGTTGGCTCCGATCGCACCGAGGAGGGTGATTGGAAGTGCGAGCTTTGTTCCAACGTCAACTTCCGCAGGAGAGACTACTGCAACATTTGTACCAACCCTCGTCCAGCACATATCAATGGAAAAGGGGCAAGAGGCGCACCACCAGGTCCCCTGGCATGAGCATCAAGTAATTGTTCGCAGAGTTAGAAGCCAGAAAACACATCGAAGGATCACAACATATTCACACCATCAAAACTTCCTGGCAGGGTAGACAGAGCAAGAAAACAGAGCAACAACTAGCGGGCAGATTTTCACATGGAGTGTATACTCGCAGTCTTTCTTAACACTCTGACATTGGTTTGCTGTTAACTCAGTTCCCAAGTCAAAGAAAGGTGGTGGAACAGAAAGGCGAAGAGTCCAAGCATTTGTAGGTGTTTGAACAAAGTGGTTTCACACTTGACTGCGGAAGCTAGTTACTGCATTAGCCCTTTACTGCAAGAACGGTAAGGTGCAAGGGTCCGAAGAACAGAACTGCTTAACAAACGCACTAGCACTTTACCAAAGCTAAGGAAACCTGTTTTG